CTCTCTCCCCCCTCTGACCCAGCAATGCTGCAGAGTCTGACCACCGCTCGTGTCCCTCTCCCAGTGCTGTCTATCTCCCGATCACCCAGTCACAGTGCCACCCTTCTTCTTCTCCCAGCACAGCTATGGCCGCGGCTGGGCAGAGCAGCTTGCCATGGCTACTCCTCACCTCCTTCCGTGAATGAGGGCTCATTGCCCCACTATGCATCTGGCAGAGCTCGTGCTGGCAGCTAGTGCCTCCGATTGCGTGGAATGCCACGGGCTCCCTTCTTTTGTTTATGTCTAGAGGCCATGTGCTAGGTGACCGAGAACCAACTGGGTCTGGGCGTGGGTCTGGCCTCTGCTACTAACTCAAGGGCTGGGCCTACTGGTTAGTTCAAGAGGCTGTAATCCGGCCTTCCGTTCCATCTATATGACGCCGGCCTTCACTTGGGGCCGGCATATTTTTGCTGCCACGGCCTCTCGGCAGATTTTCTATAGGTTGTCCCCTTGCTAGGCTCACCGAGTCTGCATTCCCACCCCCTCAGGTTCATACTTCAAAGCCCTCTGCAGGACCCTTAATCTTGTCGATGCTTCCCTTTTACAGCTCTCTCGACCGCTTGAGGTGCAGACTTGATGTGTTCTTCCTTTGAGGTGCTTCTCTGTGTTGACCTCTGCTCATGGTTGGGGGCAGCATCAATCTGCGAGGAGGAAACTGATCGTTGTGCATATAAGGGAAGAGGCTCATGGTCGGGGGCAGCATCAATCTGCGAGGAGGAAACTGATCGTTGTGCATATAAGGGAAGAGTTTGGATGCATGGAACCTAGGGTAAGTGCAGAAATGTAGCGGACATCAATCACATATCAACAGCGATCAGGATCGTTCCCTACAATGTGTAGGAAGACGAGTGGGGTTGATGAAGGCAGTCACCTGGTCAAAGAAATTGATGCTTAATGTTTTGATCCCTTTCTTATTTAACCCAGCATTCTTATAAGTAGCTTTGCTAGTAGAGTCGACGCTACTTCTGGAGTTGGCGAACATGGTCTGTTGGAAGATAGTGTCACTATTGGGCTTCTTGTGGAGTTTGGCAAACATGGTATGTTGGCATAGTGTCAAAAATGGCTTCTCAGTGCTTTCTGTTATGCGCTCCATTTATTTTTGGTCTAGCTGCAGGAGGGAATGTTAAGGCAGGTTTTGAACCTGCAACCTCCCCCAAGTGTTTTGAGTTTTGTCAAGTCTTTTGTCATTTTTGCTGCAGCCAAGAGTAGAACCTAGGACCAATAGGTAGAGACTCTGTCTGTTTGGAGTAATCCTCATCAAGAATTTTTTTTGTCAAAATTTGCAAGCGGGAAAGGGAACACTAATGTTAGCGCAGGAGCAGGGAGAAAGCGCCCAGCCATGGCCAGTTAGTTTGCTGACATTAAGTTAAGAGTGAGAATCTGAATTCCTGATTACTGGATTTCTCTTCTGATATGCAGGAATGGTGGTTCATGGAATCTCGATTTGGCATGGGAGGTCGCAAATCTGGGCTTCAAATGTTCAGAATACGAAAGACGTCAGCGGCCTGAGATGAGTGGTGAAGGGGGCATTATGCCTACTTTGGAAAGAATTGCTTCTGAAGCAAAGGCTGCAGAGGAGGCCGTAGAAGATCGTCGAATGAAGATGCTGGCAATGCCCAATCATTTCCTGTGTCCCATTACTCATGTAAGGAACTCAACTTCAGAAGCTCACAATCAAAGCTCACACGTTCAAACAATGCCCGACTGAATATTAAAAGCATGGAATTGTCTTAAGTTAAAAGTATAAACATACTAGCACATGTCTTTCACAATTACAAAATTTGAAGAGAGAAAGAACTTGCAACAGTAATTCGTGAAAAAAATACAGAAACCTTTCCGTTGGGAGTCTATGAAACTGATGAGACGGAGGAGCCAGCTGGCATGCAAGGTGAAGGCCGACATCAAGAGGACCAGCAAGAGACTTTGGTGGATCCAGCAAAGGTTAGACCAAGCTCTTTTACCTCCCTGGTTGCCAAAATGCCAGAAAAAACGAGATTAAAGGGAGGTATCATGTGACTGGCATGGAACACAGTGTCTGCAATCCCCTAAAGTGTGCTGTTAGGACTGGGAATCCCTGCTCAGCTGGTAGCTGCCTCGCTGGCGGACATTCTCAGGGATGGCACACTGAATACAGATACAGACCTGGAAACTAGGGCTTATGCTATGGATCTGGACTGCTACTACAGAGATGGCTTGTCGGATGATGAAATGGTCGATTGGGCTGAAGATGAGGACACAGATCATAATCCAATGGTATCACCCGGAAAAGAGATCAGCGAAAGAGATCAGCGGTAGCATAGGGGAATACAAGATGGACCCACCAGGGGCGTCCCTCAAATCCAACGGATTCCCCTGGCCAGCACCCCACCTAAAAGAATAATCTTGAGACGACCATGGTGTTACGATCCTGGCCAATTTCGAAGTATACATTCATTTGAAAGTACAATGCCATCCAATTGCAAAAACAAATCAATGAGCTTGAGAGGAGAGAGAGGGAAAGAAGAAGAAGAAGAAGAAGTAAGAAAGAAGAAGAAGATGATGTACTCCAGCATAGACCAATGACAAGGCTCTTCTTCTTCGCCAACCAATCTCTTCATCCTTATCTCCTCCCCTCTTATTCAAACAAGAAATAACAACAATAATGTTGAATGACTGAGCCAGAATCAATGTCCGAATCCCACTTCTACTGCAGGCACAACATGAGGTCCACCATAGCCATGGCCACCCTTCCTCTTCCTCTACATACAGGCCGAGGCTATGGC